CGCGCGCGGAGCCGCAGTCAAAGCACTTGCCAAGGTCGACGGGGCACCAGCCCGACCGGGCTCGCAGCGCCACAACAGAGGGCGAGACCACGTAACGACTCAACGGCAGCAGCCCCCACAGGTCGGGGCCCGCCCTCATCGCGACGGGCGGCCAAGCGCGCAATGACCGACCGATCATGGCTTCCGCCGGGCGGCGTTCCTGCGCCGGCCTCCTAATAGAAAAGGCTCCATCCAGGGACCGAAGCGCCTTGCAGCCCCCAGCGCATCTCCTCGCCGCAGTCGCAGCAAGAGGTTGGGCCAGGGGCCCAGGAGTCAGCGGGGCCAAGACGTGCGATGCTCGCCCCTATACAATCCGTTCGAAGCAGCGGAAGGGGCAGACACCGCATTCCATATCATTGGCCATCTCGGGGCGGCAGCGTAGTAAATGGTCAGCGGCGTCGCGCGGATCGGGGTAGACGCCGTTGCCGCGCTGGCTACCCATGGGCAACCTGGGGTCCTGCAGAACCCCTCGGGGCACCCCAACGACCGCGGCCTTTTCTTCCACGCAGCGCGCGTTGAGATCAGGTCGCGCTGAAACTCATGGCGGACACCTGGGCACCAATACTAAGGCGATGCCGCAATACTGGGGCCAGGACCGACGACGCAACCCCTACCTGGGGCGCGTTCGAAGCGGGATATCGCCGCCCCTGCTCCTGCTCAGACGTTCGCCCTCCGCGACGAAGCTCTCGTCCGCGTCGCCCGCGCCGGGGCCTGCTCTTCATCGTGCCCATATGGGCGCGCGCATGGGAGATGCCAGCCTGCCGCAGTCTCGCGCCGCGGGGGCGCGCCGGGCCCGCCCCGCGAGCTTCGGGGCGGCCCCGCGCGCCACTATCAGCGATGCCAGAGCCGCGCTCGCCGCGCAAGTAGGGCGCGCCCGACGCCTGCAAGCGCCGCTCGCGGGCGCGGCGCCAGACCAGCATAGTCGCCCGACGACGGCGTCGCAGACGTCTGGCTCGGCCTCGCACTGCGCGCGGGGCGCCCGCCGGACGCGCATTGCCCGAGTCATCGAGACGCGTTCGACGCCAGCCGCCCCTGGCATCCAAGTGCCGATGTGAACGTGGACGAAGCGACAGCGCCAGTGCTCGCCGCGACCCCTCAGCGCCACGCTCGCGCACGAAAGCCGCCCCTCGGCCTCCGCGGCCAAGGAGCTGAAGACATCGCCTGACGAGACTGCCCTGTCTGGCCACCCCCGGGGCAGACAAGGGCCCGCCCCGGGAAAGCTGCGGGGCGGGCGGTCGGGGGGGCGGGGGGGCCAATCGCCGGGTGGCAGCCCTCAGACTTTACGGCGAGGCCCTCGGACCTCGCCGCCAGGCGAAGCTTGCGGGGCGCTACATCGACGTCGCGCCAGCAGCGGGGTCGCGGACCTCAACCTCGCCGCCGCTGCCGACGCCCGAGTTCGCCGAGCGGTGGCCGGACCTCCCCGCGTCGGTCGCCCCCCTGGAGGCACCCGCGCAAGGGCTCGCTCTGCGGGCCCCCCGGCCGAGGCGCGCGCGCCGCGGGCGCCGAGATCCGAGCCCCCAGCCCGAAAGGACGCAATCTTTACAACGGCGCGCTGTTTGCCGCCATCCGCCCCAAGGGGCGCCCATGGATATCCCAGCGGGCCCGGCGCGCCCTCGCTGTCCAAGGCCACGCCGCGGGGCTGGAAGCCATCGCGCAGCGGGGGGCAGTCCTCGGAGCGCGCGGGCGGGCGCGGCGAGACACGAGTCCCAGCGACAAAGCCGAAGAGGCGAGCGACCGCGCGACAAACTCCCATGGAGGTGGCCCGATCGGCAGAGTCCGGCAGAACATCGCCCAACTGGCAGAACTGGGATGGGGCTGGCCAGCCTTCGGCACGATGCGAGACCACTGGGGCGCGCGCTTGTCGCGAGCGCACCTACCCCTTGGGAAGTTCACGCAGGTGCTCAGAGCAGCGCAATGGCGCGCCTTCCCCCGACGATCCACCCTACCACGAGACGCGACCTCGGGGCGGTGGCGGCGGTCAAACCAAGTTTCGGCTACTTGGCCAACGTCCGACTGCAAAGGACCAACGGTGAGGCCAAGTGCGTTGCGTGACAACTCGGCCACCTGCGCAACTACCTCTGCGGCGGTGACCACACCCACCAGAAGAAGGTGCGCGTTGAAATCTCGGCCGGCCAGTCGCCGGACATGACGACGGGCTTAAAGCCCTCCTCTGAAGGAAACCCACCAAAGACCAAGGGTTCGCAAGATTACCTTTGGCAGCAATTGACCAGGTGATTCAGGCGAAACCTGGCGTGTGAAAGCGCAAGAATTGAATGCTACCCCTGAAAGCAATGAGCGCACAAAGGCCGCATCTCGCCTGTTGCCGAGGCCTTCGCTGCCACGCTGATGTGCTTGCAACAGCTAGAGCCCATCTGCACCCCCTGCCTCAGGAAGTCATAGGAACAACCAAATGGCGAGACACATGGCGAGATACACCAGCTGCCTTCCACTGCGCCACGGTAGCTGTGTACGACCGCGGTCATCACACAGTCCCGCTACCAGACAGACGAGCTTGCTCCTCCATGTCGGAACTCCACCGACTGAAACCCAACCGTCTCACCAAATGGGGCGGGGGGGGGGAAACACCAGGCTCGCCCTGTGACCCACCCTCGCAAGGCCAGAATACGATGACGACTTTGTCGATCCGTGGGGGCATCCCTCCTGACATCTTCGAAGGAGCACAATAAGACGCACTCGATCTCGGCGGGGCCTTAGGCAAGGACGATGATGACACTGCTGCCACAACGCGCCGTCACAATCAGGACCACCCGGCTGATCTGACATACCCCCCCGCAGACCTCAAAGAAGTCACGACGTTGATGGTCACGACGCGGACGATGAAAGCGCACTTCTCTTCGTCCCAGAATGCACACGGCGACGGCGCGTTAGGAAGCGAAGGCCCATCAGGACCCCGCCTCAAGCGCGAACGGCCCTGGACAAGACCTGCGCACGGCGGCAGGCCTGGGGTCGCGGACGGCGCCCCTCTGTGGGCGAGCACCGTCGCCCCCTCCACTGGGCTGGCCAGTGCGGGAGCCCGCCCAGCCCCCAGCGCAGCACATCCTGCAACCAGGCCCAGCCCCCGCCCCGCCGAGGAACGGGAACTGAGGACCCCGGTGCCGCACACCAGGGTGCAGGCACCCGAGCGACACCGGTGCAGCCCACCGATCGGAGGCGTGCCCTCACGCACCGCCTCACCGTGGCCGGGCAAGAGCTTGTCGAGGAGCGTGGAGCTGCTCGAACCACAGGCATCACGGCGCTGCAACAGCACGCCTCCAGCCTCGCACGCACGCTGCGCAGCAGCCAGGAGCAGCCCAAATCCCTCCTCGACAGGCTTGAAAATTACGCAGCTCGCCTGGAACGAACTCCAGCCGGCTCTCTGCGCGCCTGCCTCTCCTGGGGCCACTCCCCGAGAAAAGCTCCAGGAGCGACCTGCTTGCCACCTGGCAGCTGGCTCCCCGGGCACAGGGCCGCCGAGGGGGATGCCCCCACGCGGCGCCGTCTTCGCCAGGGCATCGAGGTGCGCATGCAAGAGCACGCCGAGAGCCGGCGCCTCCCTGCAGCACGGGCGCGCAGAGGGGGCGTGCCACGCCCTCATCGCCACGCCCTTCCATTTTCTCCCGTCGAGGTCCCTTTTTGACCGCGCCGGGGGGCAGGATTCTTCTTCCACTCTTGTTATTCGAGTGGCGCCTCCCGCCAGTAAGAGGCTGGCCCAGCAGGAACTAGCATCCTGCTGGCCAGGACGAACTCATCGTTAGAAGTGGTGGGCTCTCTCTCTCTCTCTCTCTCTCTCTCTCTGTATCTATATATATATGTATCGCTCTCTCTTTCTCTTTCTCTTTCTCTTTCTCTTTCTCTTTCTCTTTCTCTCTCTCTCTCTCTCTCTCTCTTCTCTCTCTTTCTCTCTTTCACTCTCTCATTTCCCTGGTCCTCCCACTCATCCCTTCCTCCACCCCCCCATCGTCCTCCTCCGTGCCCCTCCTCCTCAGTCTACTCCTCCTCCTCCTTTTGCTTCTCGTCCGCCCCCTTCACCGCCTCCCCCTGCCCTTCTCCCTGCATCTCAGACTCCCCCTTTTCAGCGGCGGGCTGAACATGCTCCCGCTCCCTTGCCCTCCCCCCCCCTGTCCCCTTCCCCTCTGTTTCCCTGCTCCGCCTCATGCCTCCTCCTTCCCACCCCTCTCCTCTCCTCCTTATCCTTGGAGTTGCTGGGAAGCTGGTAGCTTTAAGTCGGGCCTATCCCCCTACTGGGGGATTTTGCGCAACAAAACTAAAAATACTCCATACACGCATCATAACGGCCAACAAAAATACAAAACAAGTAGTCCCCAGAATATTCCTCCTGTAGAGGGACAGGCCCGACTTAATGGCAGCTCGACGAGGGGACCCGCTCGCCGTGTGGGCCTGAGACGCGCATCGCAAGCACGTCGTGCACGCGCCATCCAGACACCACCGCGGGCGAACAGGGGCAGTCGAGCCTGGGCGGCGGACCTCGCGATTGAGCTAACGGCCACCACCTCCTCCTCCTCCTCCTCCTCCTCCTCCTCCTCATCTTCCTCCTCCTCCTCGGCCACCTCTTCAAACTCCGCACGCTCTTTCAAATGCCAGCTCGTCCGCGACAAAAATTAAACGAAAATCGTGGCACCGTGTGCCTCGGACCGGCGCCGGCGTCCAACGGCCGCCGTGGCACCCGCGGCCACACCGCACTGCAAGTCCAACCCGCACTGCGAGGCCTCCCGGGTGGGGTCCCGAGTAGGTGGGGTTGGAGGATCGCGCCGCATCACCGATGCATCGGCGATGCATCGGCGGTGCATCTGCGACGTCGGCGATGCATCGGCGCCGTCGGCGCGGCGACAGTCGGGCTCCATGTCGAGCTGGCCCGCCGAAACATGGGCGATGCGGCGCGATCCTCCGACCCCATCTACTTCGACCCCACCTCGGAAGCCTGGAGCAGTTGGACCACACGATCAGGCCGCGCCTGGCAGCGACGCGGTGCTGCAACAGGCGGGGGAGCTCGCCGGAAGGAAGGTGGAGAGCAGGGTGGGCATGAGAGCGCTGCCCTGCGCGGCCGTTGCAGGCGCGCCGTCACTCAACGAAGGGCACCTCAGCGGGCGCTAGGCCCCGCCCGAGCCTGCGATCTTCGGTGGCAACTCACTGGAGCCTGCCGTGCCATCTTGCTGGCTCCTGCGAATCGATGCGGGCCGACGCGAATCGACGCTATCAAACGCCTAATCGACGCTAACCGATGCTAAACCGGCGCTTTCTCATCGATTACCAGACGTTAGCGCACGCAAACGCACTCTGAAGCTGGAGTTGCGAGGACATACGAGGCTCCCATGGCTTGCTACCGAATGCGATCTGAGGGTGCGGAGCTTGCACCGCCCCAAAACACGGGGCAACGGAGGTGGCAAATGTTGTCACGTGGAAAGGGGGTCGTATGATAGAGGCCACCCGTGGATGATTACAGCATCTCCCTTTGGGAGATACGGAGGTTTGGTGTGTGTTTGTGCGTGTGTTGTGTGCAACTTTCGGCTTGCGATTGGCGTCGGATTGGATTCACACAATGCATATATATATATATATACATATGTATACATATACATGTACAGAACGATATCGGTATCTATATACCAGGCGACCTCCCGATAAGTCACCGCACGAGAAGTCTAAAATCTCACGCTCAGTAGATAGCAGATAGGTCGGTCTCACTGTACACATATATACATATATACACACATACATACATAGATCGGGCTCACCCTCTATCTAACTAGATATTGACCTCACCGTCAAGATACCTGCATGTCCGTCGGTCTCACTAGCTATGAAATGGAACACTCACAGGACAACCATGGGATGATCACGGGACGACCACTGGACAACCACGGGACAGCCACGGGGCAACCACTGGAAAACCACGAGCCAACCGCGGGACCACCACGGGACAGCCGCGGGACAACAACGGGACACCGCTCCGACTAGATCTCTACCAGTCGATCTCACAATGAAATCGGTTCCACAATTTGTCAATCGATCTCACTCTCGATAAATCGATCGGTCTCACTATCGACCAGTCTCATTATATATACATATATATATATATATATATCGATCTCACTTTCAATGCATCGGTCGATCTCACTATTCACCGATGGGTCCCAACCCATCTATCTGCAAAACGGGACAACCGCAGGACAACCACGAGACAATCACTGGACAACCACGGACAATTACTTGATAATCACGGGACAGCCATGGCACAACCATAGGACAACCACGGGGCATCATCCGGACAACCGCGGGACTTCCACAAGAGAAACACCTGCCAACCGCGGGACAACCACAAGACGACCGCGGGACCCCCCCCCCCCGCACACGCCGCAGACGCTGAGGGTGGAGGATAAGTGTCCTCCCTGGGCCTAGTCAGGGGAGGAACTCGCGCAGCTCCGCCTCGCCCGCACGCATGTCGCGCACGATGCGGCCCAAACCCTAAAACCGATTTCCCGGTGGGGAGACTCCACTCCCCTTCGAACTTAGCCTCCCCAAACCCTCCCTTGACAATTATTGGGGCGACGTGCGGAGGGCTCAACCTTCGGACCTGGAGCCATCTGCCTCAGGAGGGGGACCAGAGAACAGCTCTCCAGTCTCGCACTCGCTGCGCAGCTGCCCCCGCTCTCGTGAGTTTGCAGCGGGGGGGCCCAGCGGAGCGCGGAGCTAGATTCATCGCGCTGTCAGAAGGAACGTCAAATACGTAACGAAGGGAATTTGCTGGCCACGGCGAGCCTCGGCCACGAAGCGGTTCCCCGACCTGGATCTAAAGAACAGCTCGAAAGAAGGCCCTTTCTGAGCCCGGGGTGGCTCTCATTTCAGAGTCTTGACTGCACGCAGACCCAAACAAGACCCCGCTGCCCTTTCGGGGGTGACCAAGAGGGGGTCGCCCAAGAGGAGGGGGCGCAAATCATGGCCGGTGGCACGTGCGCGGCCCATGGAGGGGGGGGGGGCCGGGGACGTAATGAAATAAGAAGCGGCGCCATGAAACCTGAGGAAATATCAGCCAGCGTTGACTCCAAATAGATGAGACGACTCAATTCAAGGAGCCAGAGGAATCAAGTATGCTTGGAATTCGCAAGTCAGTGGCAAGCAAGCAAGCGTGCAAGCAAGCGCGCAAGCGCGCAAGCGCGCAAGCAAGCAAGCGTGCAAGCGTGCAAGCGTGCAAGCGTGCAAGCGTGCAAGCGTGCAAGCGCGCAAGCGCGCAAGCAGGCATAGGCATAGGTGTAGGCATAGGAGTTAGGGGGAGGCATAGGCTTAGGAATCAGGCATAGCCCTGGGAATTAGGGGGGGCACAGGAATTAGGGGGGGGAGGGGCAACGGACCAATCAGTAGGGTCTGAGTCTGAGCCAGGACTCCTAGAGGGCAAGCCTAACTATGTGGAGAATCTCGTGGCCCACGCCATGATGTCCCCCCGCCCCCCCTACGGTCGAGCATCTGATTAAGAAACCGCTTCTCGAAAAGCTGGGCCAGCGTTTGTTGGCCAACTTGCCAGAAAGCTGGCTCAGTTTCTTCAGCGCGTTCGCCCCTCCAGCGTTGAGACAACAACTTGGCCAGGTTTGCCTGAATATCTTTTGGGAAAGCTGGCCCAGGCGTCTCAAGTGATGAGTTTCCTGATCATATTTTCGGCTGTAGTCTTTAGCCGGGTCTGTCCCCCGACATGGGGATTTTCTAGGAAAAATTAAACATAGACCTACAAATATCCAAACATGCTTTTTTATAACAAAAAAAAAACGTATTCCCAAAATCGTCCCCGAATTATTCTTGGACTATTTCTGGACATTCCTCCCGTAGAGGGACAGGCCCGACGTGCCTGTAGTCATCGCCCCCCTCTTGGCCGCCGAACCCCGATCCCCTGGCGCTGCCAGCAGCGAGCGCCCGTGGCCGAGACCTGCGCGGGAGAGCTCCCCGGGGGGCGCCCCACGGCGGAGGGGCCGGGCGGCGCGGCCCGCCCTGCCCGCGGAGGCCGCGAGACGCGCCGCCCCCCCCGCCCCTCGACCGATGGCCTGCAAGGTGTGCTCGGGCGAGTCAGCAACCACAGCTGGGGCGTTGACCCGAGGAGCCCCACATAAGGAGCGAGGCCCCCCTCTCTTCCACAAACCACGCTTCGATGTCCCCTCGAAGCCCAGGAGGCATAGCAACGGCGAGCTGCAGCACAGCCAGGGAACACGGAGCCCCTCCCAAACAGAAAGGGTGCCCGACTGTACTCCAAGTCTCTCGCCCGCTCGCTCGCTCGAGCGAGCGAGCACGCGACGGGGGAGGGGGCGAGGGGGGGGGGGGCGAGCGAGCGCGGGAGGGGCGGGCAAGCGAGCGAGCGAGCAGGAAGACCCTCTCCTTCCCTCGCTCGCTCGCTCCAGCGAGCGGGGGGCCGAGCGAGCCATGGGAGGGGGGGGGGGAAGGCGAGCGAGCGCCCATCCGGGGGGGGGGAGAGGAGGGCTCCAGAGGCCCCCAAAAAACAGAGGAACGAACAACGACACCAGAGAGACAATCGATGGAGCGAAATCGTGGGATCGATCAAGAGATCGACAAGGAAATCGACCAAGAACCCAAGAGCCCGGGAACCCAGAACCTACCGAAATCGGCCCGGAACCAATAACCGGGAACCCGGGAACCCGGAACCGGGAACCGGGAACCCGGGAACCCATCCTGCTACCAACATCCGAGAAAAAACTTTCGCCAAATCTTTCAACTTCCGCTAGGACCCCTTCAGTGCAAGCACTGATTGGGGAACATAAAAATAAAACTCGGCGGTCCGCGCGGATTTCTCGGATCGGCGCTGGACCCTCCTGGAGGCGCCTCCGGCGCCGCCCCTGGCGCGCTCCGCGCGCCAGAGATATCTGCACTGACCTCCGAATTTATATGTTTATGTCATTGTTCGCTTCCCTAGAAAAGGGCAACAAGAGGGTCCCAAGAGAGCCCCAGAGGCTTCCAACATGGCCCCAGGATGGCTCCAAGAGGCTCCCAGAGGAGTTCAAATCTAACTACTGTTGGCCTCCTTGCTTCACCATCTGCTTACCTACTCCCCTCTTCCAGACAACTCTCTTGGGCATCGGTTCTGGATGGGCTGGCGGGGATGCGCGAAGCGTCGAGAAATTCCATCGGCCCCCATGAGATAGACACCCGATCGCGATGCGTGTCTTTTGGAGCGTGGTGCCAGTCTGGGGCAGTGCGACCTGTGCGAGGCCAGGGCGTGCTCTGAGAGCTGGGCGAGTACACCGCTGCGCCACTCAGAGCTCCAGCACAAGAGAGGCACACGCGCAGCCGGCAGGGGCTTCTGCCAGGCTGCAGTTCGAACTCCACGAGATCGACTCGACCCGAATCCTCAACTCGGGCGCACGTTTACGTGGACTACGGATCCATGTGTCTAGCGCGTGGGCGCCTGCCAGACCCACGGATCGGGGAAAGTTCCCCCCCCCGAAACATCAAGGCAATGCCGCCTGATTTGGGGTCGAAGCGCGTCGATTTTGTCTGGAGCGTGACCCGTCGCTAATCCACGCGCCTTGTTTTGGCGGCGCTCACACAGGGGTAAAGAGAGAGACTTACAAGGAGGCTTCTTCTCAGAAGATGCCAGCCGCCCTTTTAAGAAGCCAAGGGTGCGCCGCTTCTAAGAAAAAACCCGGTAGCTTCGGAGCACGGCACAGCTTCTCAGAAACACGGAACAACTTCGCAGAAGCAAGCTGGGCGCCTTAGAAGCGCGCCAGGAGCAGCCTCTACGAAACCACCACCACCTTCTTAGGAGGTGTGGTCGCGACTTCTGAGCTAGGAGGGCTCTTCTGAGAAACCCTGCGCCCTCCCACCAACCTCTGCTGTGCGTGGCTGATTCATCCACGTTCCCAGATCCCCAACGTCATGTTTTTTTTTCACATCGTCGACTCCCCTTAGGTCTTGACTCATTCCCTGGGACCGGCTTTCCATCTCGAGTGGTTGTCTGACGGTCCTGGGGCCCCGCGAGGGCCTCCAGAGTCCGAAACTAACCCACGCACCCCGTCAGCTTGATGTTTTTAACCAACTGGAGGAGGTCTGGGTCTTGCGGTGTCGTGTTCCTCCCCTCGCGGCTGCCCGAGCGCGGCACGTCGCCCATTCCGCCGAGCCCTGGGCGCCCTGCGTCGGGCCCCCCCTTGCTAGCGGACGCTCTGCACGTGGAAGCCGCACCTGCACCACGGCGGGGGGGGAGGACGCGAGGGGGGATCACATGCGAGATTATGCGAGGTCATAACGCTTGACTCATGTTTCTGCAGAATAGAGACACACACATATCTATATACACATCTATGGAGATATATACTTACATAGTCGGGCTCATTTATGTATGCACATTTGTCGTCGTCGCCCTCGCTCGCGACCCTACCGCGAAACACCCACGACCGACTCCGCGACCCAAAATCCGCACACACCCCGCGCCTGCACCCTCACTCTTGTCTACAACTGCGGGGTGCTGTATACGTATCTTTATATACATATGCATAGATAAACATCCCCTTAAATATTGGACCAAGTCCGCCGCAAGTATATGACAAAGCAGTGCACAGCTAATGTGGAGGCCGCGCGCAGACGAAGCTCACAGGATGGAGCGCAGGGGGGACTGTCACCTCCTGGCGCACCCGATCGCGCACCTCCTGCCGCACACATTTCTCGCCGCCTGGGGGCTAACGTGGAGGCCGCGCGCAGATGAAGCTCGCAGGATGGAGAGCAGGAGGACTGTCACACCTCCTGGCGCACCCGAAAGCGCACCTCCTGCCGCACACACTTCTCGCCGCCTGGGGGCAGAGTGGACATGGACATCTTTTGCTAGTGATCGTTTTTCGGTGGTGCAATCTGATACCGAATGGATTCCGCCAAGGTTCTCGAGAGCCGTCAGACGTGCAAGACAGAAGCCAGAATACAAAAATCCGCTCCCCGTTAGGGGGTAGAAGGAGGTGAAAGGTTTGTGCACTATGTACACAGGTCCAGGGTGGCCGAGGGCGGGCAAGCTTGAGCCCAGGCAGTTATGGAAACGGGTGATAACTGCAGGGGTGCAACAGACTAAACACTCATAGCAAGACCGTGCATCGCACAACCATGCTAGTGATCGTTTTTCGGTGGTGCAATCTGATACCGAATGGATTCCGCCAAGGTTCTCGAGAGCCGTCAGACGTGCAAGACAGAAGCCAGAATACAAAAATCCAAACTCTTTGGCATAGTCGAAGTTCTCAGCGCAGCGGTACCCAGACCATTGCCGTACGGAGGTGCGGGAAGGCGTCAACCCTGATGTAGTGCGAGAAAGCCCTGAAGAAGAGAAGGACGCAGCACTGCACATATTACAAGTCAAGTAGGATCTTTGCAAGGAACTTTGCCAGACGATAAGGATATTGGGCGGCCCTCGAGGTCATCGTTTTACCCTCTAGAATCAAATGTTTATGACCAGGACGGAACGAGCAGAAACCGTGCTTCCCGTGGCATCTGAGGCGATCCGGGAAAATGATAGCCAGGTTGCCTGACTCGGTAGGGCAGCCGATGACAATGCGCGTGGATTTCCTCCAATGAGCACCGAAGGCGCACTGATGCAGGTCTATAGCCCACGAGTGCGGAAGAACATGAGCGGCCACATTATCTTGCCGCCACAAGTACGAGCCCATTGGATTCTCCATAGCATAAGGGATCTTGAAATGAACGCACAACCGAATGATGTAGACTGCGACGTGGGCTCGCAATCGTGGTAGGCCCTGAGGAAACTGGGCACTCCTGACGGGGTACCTGTTCCGGGCCAGCGAGAAGGACGCGCACGGAGGCGCAATCATCACAGCACGAATGAGACCACGGCGAAAATGATCCGCGATGATGCGGAGGTTGGCAGCACTGCACACATCCTGGTCAGCACCCTGCCGAAGGTCTAAGCTGATGGCAGGTACCCCCAGCTTGCGAGCCCAGGAGGCGACCCCTCCACCACCGGCGAAGAGATCCAAGAGATACGGAGCCTTCTGCGCCTCGAGCACGGCGCAGGCGGCGGCCTTGCTCAGGCCGGGGGGCGCTGGGATGCTGGAACGGGTGCGGGGCGGCCGAGAAGGATGACATCCTCCATCACCCTCAGAGCAGCCACGCAGAACGACTTCGTGAGCTCCGACAGGCCTTCCCACGACTCGTTCAGCCTGCCCGCCTTCTCGTAGCGCTTGACCGAGGTGAGTGTGGCCCAGCGCCCGCGTTTCTGAACCTCCTCTTGAGTCCGGCGGTTCGAGGCCCTGTCCAGGCTTGCCCCGGAGTGTCTCCCCTGGTAGGGCACCGCGTCGACCCCGATGTTGTGAGCCGCCCGCCTGAACAGCGCCAAGAACTGCGGGTAGGTCAGGCTGAGCAGCGGCTGAGACGACCCACGATCGCGAAGGGCCCGGTAGATGTGATGCATCCAGGCCATCCTTCCTGAATCGATCGGGATCGAGTCGTCCGACGACCCCGTCTTGCTGCGCGCCGTGCCGCTCTCCGGGAAGAGGAGCAGCACCCAGTTGTCCACGGCGTGGCTGCATGGTGGCAGGAACGAGTTCGACGTCAGCCCCAGCATCTCGCCAGGTCGAAGATAGCACTCCACCATGATGAGCACCATCACCCCGGCGAGAGGAGCGCCCAGCCTGGCCAACTCGACCGCGATGCCCGCCCATATCGCGAACACCAAGGGCTTCCGCGATCTTGATGGGCTGAGCCGCTTCCAACCTTTGAGAGTACGAAGGGCACGAGGCATGTAGAGGCCACCAGACTTCCCATAGTCCGGGTGGAAGAACATCATTGCAGCAATGAGCTTCTCTCCACGCCAGCTCTTGACCCCCTCGAGGAAGAGCTTGTTCATGTACTCGACCAACTTTACGTCCAGCACGGCCGACGCGGGCATGGCTGTCAGCAAGAAGCCTGCCCAGGCACAGAACGCGAGGGCGCACTCTCGGTAGGTCTCCAGCGACCTGGCCCCCACCGAGCGCTTCTCCAAGTAGCTCAGCCCCGTGTTGTGGCCGTGCCTCCAGATGTCGCCGCCGTGGGCCTGGATGGCCCTGCGGACGCGAGCTTTGCCCCGAAGCTCGAGGTTCCGGCGCGAGGCGGTCACCACCCGCCGCTCCTCCACGTCGCTGCTCTCGTAGCTCTGTGAGGCGCCCGCGTCCACGGCCGCCGCGGGGACGCCTGCGCTTGCTGGAATCAGCTTGCCCGCCGGCGTCTCGAGGAAGGCCTCCACGGTGTCCGTCTGCGCCGGGCAGCGCGGCGGGGCGGCAGCCACGAGCCTCGCATCCAGGCCCTGGGACGTGTCCAGCACACGCGCTCGCCTCGCCGGCGGGGCCGCCGCAGAGCTGCTCGCGCCCGCCCCCGGGCTCAGGGTGCGCACTCTGCAAGGCGCACTCGCCGCCGGCTCCTGCAGCGAGCCCGCGGCCGGCGCCCGCGGCGGCAGGCTCTCGCGCTGCAGCGTCCGCTGGCGGCCCGGCGAGGCCGGCTGGGCCCCCTCCATCGCACTGCCGCGAGGAGCCTGAGGACACGGGACCCGAAGCCTGGTTTGAGCCTAAATGGGATACGAGGGTCTTGGAGCTGTCATATTCTGGATCAAACTTCCGACTGCCTTCATCGCCGGAGTTGAACTCGCTTGGTATCCATCGGACAACAAATCTGATGTTTCTCGCCAGACAGAGCGCAGCAAAACGTCGGACCTGAATTAGCAGCCGAAAATCCCTGGACCTGAAACGACAAAAACAGAGCACTACCGAGAGATTGTCCCCCAGTAGGAGGACGCGGCAGTCTTTGACTGGCTGAGAATGGGCCGCTCGAGAGGCAGCCTTCACCAGTGCTCTGGCCTCAAGCCTGAGAATATCGTCAGCAAAAACCCAGCGATCTGCCATCACGGTCTTCCAGTGGGAATCGCGAAGCAGCTCATGCGGGACCTCGGGGAACGCCGGGTCGCACTCCCAGCGCTCGCTGTTGAGGATGTCCAGCAGCTCGGAGTCGAGCCGCCTCGGCGCCCCCTCGGCGTCGCGGACAACCTCGCCCGTCTCTGAGTTCAAAAGAAACCCGGCACTCTCGAAGGCGTGCTGACGGGCCAGACCAGCGCCCAAACGCCACCGACTCAGCTCCGAGATGCGGCCGACTAGAGCCACCTGGGCAGAGTCGAACTCCGCCTCTGCGACGCCGTATCCGTAGAGGCTGGCGTCCGACGAGTAAACGAAAGGCATCCAGTCGCGGTCCCAGCGAGCCTCGAGCATCACCATCAATCCCAAGAAGCACTCCAGTTCCTCTCGAACAGTGGGCCAAAGGACTGAAAAGGTGTGATAGCTGCTCGTCACGAAAGCGTACACTGCGTGAAAAATAGACAGCAGCTCGCGCCGAACCAAGGCCATGAACGTCATGTGGCCCAGCACCATCTCAAGCTGCCACCCGGCAACCTGGCGCTGCCTGAGGAGACATCGCAGGCCCTTCCGCACGGTTGCGAACCTCTCGTCCGTAGGCCGCGTGCAGAGCCTCGCTCCATCCAGGTGGCAGCCCAGTGTACGACCACCTCCCACGTGAAGTTCAACCTCATGAAACTTGAGGTGGTCACGATCGAAATCAGTCTGGGCTTCGTGAAGGGCTGAGCGGACGGCGGTGTCCGACAAGCCAAGGACGCCGGCGTTGTCGACGTACATGAAGTGGCCGAGGTTCTCACTATGTGGCCCGCGGCGAAGGACAAGAGGCGGCCCTCGATCACTGAGCCGCAAGCTCTTTGCCAAGGACGGCTGCCGATCGAGCCGCGACTGGTTGGCCGCCTGCGCGAAGAAGAGCGACCATGAGAAGCCCATCGGCAAGCTCTGACTCATGGGCCACACCATCTCTGAGTCGCCGGCCGCCTGACCCTCGATGAGGGTCTCGCCTGCGGCAGAGGCCAGCAGCGGCGGCCAGCAGAAATAGCGCCGAATGTCGCCGTCCAGCTTCATCCGATGGAAGCAGTCGGCGACGTCGCCGACCCCCAGGACAACGCGCAGCTCGCTGAGGTCCCCCTCCTTAAACACCGGCACCTCGATGCGGCCAAGCCCTTCACCTGACAGCAAGTCGACACCAGGCGGGGGACGAAAAAGAGCATTGCTGCGTCTACAGTCCACGATGAGGCGCAGGCGCTCACCATCCTTCTTCTTTACAAAAAAACAATCCAAGAACGCTCAAGGGTCGTCGGGTCAAAGTCA